TAACATGGATGAAACTGGAGGACATTATGCTGAGTGAAATAAGTCAATCACAAAAGGACAAATATAGCATGAGACCACTACTGTAAAAACTCATGAAAAGATTTACACACAAAAAGAAACAATCTTTGATGGTTACAAGAGAGGGGAGGGGTGGGGGGGGATACTAAACAGACAATAGATAAGTGGTAACTTTGGTGAAAGGTAAGAAAGTACACAATACTGGGGAAGCCAGTACCACTTGTTCAAGGCAAGGTCATGGAAGCTCCATAAACACATCCAAACTCCATGAGAGAACTAATTGCTGAGCTGAAGGCTGTGGGGACCATGGTCTCGGGGAACATCTAGCTCAACTGGCATAACACAGTTTATAAAGAAAATGTTCTAAGTTCCACCTTGGTGAGTAGCATCTGGGGTCTTAGAAGCCTGTGAGCAGCCATCTAAGATACTCCACTGGTCTCACCCCTTCAGCAGCAAGAGAGAATGAAGAAAACAAGATACAAAGGAAAGATCAGCCCAAACGACTAATGGACCACAACCACCACAGCCTTCACCAGACTGAGTCCAGTACAGCTAGATGGTGCCCGGTTACCACCACTGACTGCTCTGACCGGGATCACAACAGAGGGTCCCAGACAGAGCTGAGGAAAAATGTAGAACAAAATTCAAACTCACAAAAAAAGATCAGACTTACTGGCCTGACGGAGACTGGAGAAACCCTGAGAGTATGGCCCCCGGACACCCTTTTAGCTCAGTAATGAAGTCAGTCCTGAGGTTCACCATTCAGCTAAAGATTAGACAGCTCTATAAAACAAAACGAGACTAATGGGGCACAACAGCCCAGGAACAAGGACGAGAAGGCAAGAGGGGACAGGAAAGCTGGTAATAGGGAACCCAAGGAAAAGAAGGGAGAGTGTTGACATGTTGCGGAGTTGTTAACCAATGTCATAAAACATTATGTGTACTAACTGTTAAATAAGAAACTATCTGTTCTGTAAACCTTCATCTAAAGTACAATAAAAGAAAAGAAAAGAAAAATAATAATAATAATGTATTTCCCTCTGATTCAAGTTTTCAGAGATAAGAACATTCAGGACTTAACCTGGAACATGTTGGGATTAAAAGATTTTTACTTAAAAAAAAAAAATCAGGATTTTTACCATGAAGAAAAAATCTACAGTTAAATTATGACTGTCAGAATGTATGAAAATAGTCTGCTTTTGTTTAAAAATGTGTTTAAAGTATCTGTGCTCCCAGAACCTTCAGACGAGAAGTTCCTCAGGAGTGTATTGGGAAACATAGTCTATCAAGTCACCATATCAGGACTAGTGAATACACCAATGCAGTTTTAAAATGCCCTCATATTTTTTGACACTTCCTTCAAAACGTACAGCCTAATTTCCCTTCCCCTATGAGGAGGCGGGGCCAAGATGGCGGAGTAGTCAGACGCTTCCCGTGGTCCCTCTTACAACAAAGACCTGAAAAAACAAGTGAATCGGTTATATATGACAATCTAGGAGCCTTGAACATCAAAGGCAAAGTTGAGGAATCAGACTGAGTGGCAAGGGGAGGGAGAGACAGTTCAGAAGCAGTGAGGAGTTGTCAGACCTGACCTGGAGAGAGCCTGAGCCCTTCAGACCTGATCAGCTTGTGGTATGCATAAGGCAGGCAAGCAGCAGCACTTGGGAGGCGTTTTCCACATCAGGAGAGACCCAGCAGCAGAGAGTCTACTCGGCCATCCACAACCAGTGAGAAGCCGCCCTCAATCGGCAAAAGATAAGTACTTGCGTCTGGCCGACTGCGCAGATCAAAAACACCCCCCTCAGGGAAGAACCTCTCTCCCATTTACCTCCCCATTCCCTGCTCTGTACTGGGAGAGTGAACAAATTAACAAACAGGGGAAAAAATAATCTGCTGGCTTCCCTAAGCCAGGAATTCAGGGTAGGCACAGCTCCTTTGCCTAGGCACAGGTATAAGCTGTCCATGGACTTTGAGTGCCTTTCTCCCTGCATAGACTTGTGTGGGCCCATTTCAACAGTATAGGCCCTCATTACCACAGTCAATAGGGTATATACCTGAAGTCTAACTTCAACTGTTTCAGCTGTGAAGTGGCAGGTTTGTGACATTTGACCCTGCTCTGCCCATTAAGCAGGGTCTTCACCTACCCACATCAGGGGCCTGAGGACTGGTGGCCCCATCCATGCCACCTAGCCACCAACTATGACAGGGGCTCAAGAATAAGAGGTGCCCCCCAGTCCTTACAGCCAACAGCACTGGGTGGTCATAGTACGGCTGCAAAACCCACCCATCTGTACGCTCTAGGTAACAGGGATATGCTTTCCTCCTGGATACTTGGGGGTGGCTGTTGCCCCCCTGCCTTGCTCAGCCTGTGTCCCCCTGCTGCCAGATGCCTGTGCCTACACAAATCACCCATGCCTGTCTAGAACTCTGGGTGAGAACCTGCACCACACACTTCATGGCCAACTACCTGAACACCTGAGCTGAACCCATACAGGAGGAGTGGGCAGACTCTTGGACTCACATACTTAGTGGCAGGTCTGGCCACCTGGGGACAGGACATTGGAGTTTCAGGGGCACTGGTGACTGGTCTAGCTCACAAGAGCAGCCTATTTGGGCATATCAAAACAAAACAAAACAAGATGCTAGGACACAGTAAGCAAACATAAAATAAATAATCATAATAACTTATTGATGGCTCAGAGACAACAATCAAATCACAAAAAGAGGCAGACCATTATGGCTTCAGCAAGCTCCCAAGATAAAGAATTTAGAAATTTTCCAGAGGAGGAAGAGTTCTTGGAATTACCAGAGGCAGAATACAAAAGATTAATACACAGAATTCTTCAAGAGATTAGGAAGGAAATTAATCAAAATGCAGAACACACAATAGAGAAAGTTAAGAAGATTAGAGAATAGTATAATTTCCCTTCCCCTGAATCTACGCTGGACTTAATGACTCACTTCAAATGAAAAGAATGTGACAGAAATGATAGTGTGTAACTTCCAAAGCTTCATCAATTCCATTCTGTCTTCTCTTGGATCACTTGCCATGGGGGAAGTTAGCCACCATGTCATGAAGAGACTCAAGAAGCCTGTGGACAGCTCATGTGCAGAAGAACTGAGGCCTCCTACCGAGAACCAGCACCATCTTGCCAGTCATGTGAGTACACCCCCTTGGAACAGATCCTTCCGCCCTACAAAAGCCTTCAGACGACTGCAGCCCTGACATCATCACCCAACATTGCATTGCTAAACCCACTCAAATTCCTGACCCACAGAAAATGAGAAATAATAAATGTTCATCATTGTATTAAGCCACTTAATTTGGGGGTAATTTGTTATGCAACAATATATAGCTAATACAACAACCTCTCACTTCCCAGAACCAAATTTTATCTATAACAGGAAGTAAAAATAGATCACTTTAATATAATACTATAATTTTCCCACATGTTAGTAAAATTTCAAATTTTCCTTCCTAATATACTAAGTAGTGATCCTTTTTTCCTTCCCCCAAATTATTTCATAATATTATTTCATAATATTCATTAATTTCTAAGTTAATTTAAAGAAAAACAGTGACCCAAAAAGACTTCAATCAGCCAATAAGGATTTTTTTGAATGCCTCCTTTTTGTAGAGCATCTGTACAAGCTACTGAATGGAGATGAAGGAAAAAACAAACAAACATGGTTTTGAGGAAGTTATAACTTAATTCACATTAATGTTTATGAAATAATTTAGGTTTTTTAGTGAAATTTTTCCCCTTGGCTCTGAAGATTATACGTCAGCGGGAAAAGGTGTGGAAAGTTTCTCCTTTACCTCTGTGAGGGACCCGCAAGCCACACCACCATGCAGGGCTTCATCCAAAGCTGAGAGGGTAGTAGATAAGAATGCTGGTGAGAGATCAGCAGACCTTTGTGTCTTCATCTCAAAAGCCTGAACAAGAAAAAGATTATGTTCTTTTCAATCTCTCTATCTATTCAAAAACATAAACCAACTTCAAATCTCTAAACTTTAGCAGCTGTAACACCAGTCCATCTTTTTTTCTTCTACAGCATTATTTATTTGGTCAACAAATATTTACTATGTGCCAAGGACTGTGCTAGATTATGGGGATACAATATAACAGACAGAGCGCCTGTCCTCACAGTTCTCATAGTCAACCAAAACCAAAAAAACCAAACCCGTTGCTGTGGAGTCAATTCCGACTCATAGCGACCCTACAGGACAGAGCAGAACTGCCCCACAGGGTTTCCAAAGAGCAGCTGGTGGATTCGAACTGCCAACCTTCTGGTTAGTAGCCAAGCTCTTAACCACTGCACCACCAGGGCTTAGGACTAAAAACTGGGCAATTACAATACAGTTAATAACCAACACTGTGGTAGGGAAAATGGAGACACAGAGACTGTACACCTGATCTGGACTGTGTGATCCAGGAAGACCTCATGGAAGAGCTGGATGTCTGAGCTAAAATCTAAAACAGCTATTATACAAGCAGGGAAAATGTGAATGTTTCTGCCAAAGAGGATGGGATGTACTAAGAAAGTTCAAAAAGCAAGAAAGAGATGAAATAGAAACTAATAAAAACTACAAAAAATTTTAAAAGTCCATTTAGAATGGTCACAAGATGGAGTGTGTGCTGTCAGGATATACCAAGCGATGAGTCTAGAGAAATAAGCAGCGGCCCAATAATGAAGACACTTGTTGAAGAGTTTGGAGTTTATGCTGAGAGCAACAAGGAGTGACAAGATCAAATTATCATTTCAAAAACATACTATATTCAATATAGTTTGTGAAGAATAGCTTAATAGTGGCTGTGGCAGTACAAATACCTCCCCTCCCCCGAAAAAAAAACAGATATCCACATCAAATCCCTGGAACATGGGAATGTTACCTTATCTGGAAAAAGGGTGTTGACAGATGTAATTAAGGATCCTAAAGTGAGGCGATCATTCTGGATTATCCAAGTGGTCCCTAAATACCATCACAAAAATCCTTATAAGAGAAAGGCAGAGGGGGATTAGATACACAGAGGAGAATGTGATGTAAAGAGAGAAGTGGCCACAAGCCAAGGAATGCCCAACAGTCACCAAAAGAAAGAGGAAGAGACAAGGAATGGATTCTCCCCTACAGCCTCCAGAGGGAGGGCAACCCTGTGGACAACTTGACTTCAGACGACTAGCCTCCAAAAGGTAAGAGAATAAATTTCTGTTGTTTTAAGCCACACGTTGTTGTTGTTGTTGTTAGGTGCCGTCAAGCTGGCTCCAACTCACAGCAACCCTATGTACAACAGAATGAAACACTGCCTGGTCCTGTGCCATCCTCACAATCATTGTTAACGCTTCAGCCCATTGCTGTAGCCACTGTGTCAATCCATCTCATTTAGGGTCTTCCTCTTTCTCACTGACCCACCACTTTACCAAACATGATATCCTTCTCCAGCGACTGGTCCCTCCTGATAACATGTCCAAAGTATGTGAGACAAAGTCTCACCATCCTTCCTTCTAATGAGCATTTTGGCTGTACTTCTTCCAAGACAGATTTGTTCGTTCTTCTGGCAGTCCATGGTATATTCAATATTCTTCTCCAACACCATAATTCAAAGGCCATCATTTCTTCTTCGGTCTTCCTTATTCATTGCCCAGCTTTCATATGCATTTGAGGTGACTGAAAACACCATGGCTTGGGTCAGGAGCACTTTAGTCCTCAAACTGACATCTTTGCTTTTTAAAACTTTAAAGAGATCTTTTGCAGCAAATTTCCCCAATGCAACGCAGCATTTGATTTCCTGAATGCTGCTTCCATGGACACTGACTGTGGATCCAAGTAAAATGAAATCCTTTACAACTTCAATATTTTCTCCATCTGTCATGATGTTGCTTATTGGTCCAGTTGTAAGGATTTTTGTTTTCTTTACATTGAGGTGTAATCCATACTGTGGTGTTTGATCTTCATCAGTAACTGCTTCAAGTCCTCTTCACTTTCAGCTAGCAAGGTTGTGTCATCTGCATATCGCAGGTTGTTAATGAGTCTTCCTCCAATCCTGATGCCACGTTCTTCATATAGTCCAGCTTCGCAGATTATTTAGTCAGCATACAGATTGAATAAGTATGGTGAAAGGATACAACCCTGACGCACACCTTTCTCGACTTTAAACCACACAGTATGCCCTTGTTCTGTTTGAGCATGAGCACAATTAAGTGTTCTGGAATTCGCATTCTTCGCAATGTTACCCATGATCTGTTATGATCCACACAGTCAAATGCCTTTGCATAGTCAATAAAACACAGGTAAACATCCTTCTGGTATTCTCTGCTTTCAGCCAAGATCCGTCTAACATCAGCAATGATATTCCTCGTTCCACTTCCTCTTCTGAATCCAGCTTGAATTTCTGGCAATTCCCTGTCGATGTACTGCTGAAATCACTTTTGAACGATCTTCAGGAAAATTTTACTTGTGTGTGATATTAATATTTTTCAGTAATTTCCACACTCCGTTGGATCACCTTTCTTTGGAATGAGTACAAATACAGATTTCTTCCAGTCGATTGGCCAGGTAGCTGTCTTCCAAATTTCCTGGCATAGGTCTTTTCTGTCTTTTTAATGACCTCCTGCATTCTTCATGTATTATGTCCTTGATGTCATTCCACAACTCATCTGGTCTTCTGTCATTAGTGTTCAATGAGTAAAATCTATTCTTGAGATGGTCTCTAGATTTAGGTGGGATATACTCAAGGTCGTACTTGAGTACGACTTGTTCTAATTTTCTTTAACTTCACCTTGAACTTGCATAAGAGCAATTGATGGTCTGTTCCACAGTTGGCCCCTGGCCTTGTTCTGACTGATTATATTGAGCTTTTCCATTGTCTCTTTCCACAGATATAGCCAATTCGATTCCTTGTATTCCATCTGGCAAGGTCCATGTGTACAGTCACTGTTCATGTTGTTGAAAAAAGGTTATTTGCAACGAAGAAGTCGGTCTTGCAAAATTCTATCATGTGATCTCTGGTGTCATTTCTATCACCAAGGCCATATTTTTCAATTACCAATCCTTCTTCTTTGTGTCCAACTTTCACATTCCAACCGCCAGTAATTATTAATGCATATTGATTGCATGTTTGATCAATTTCAGACTGCAGAAGTGGGTAAAAATCTTCGATTTCTTCATCTTTGGCCTTAGTGGTTGGTGCAATAATTTGAATAATAGTCATATAAACTGGTCTTCCTTGTAGGTGTATGGATATTATCCTATCACTGACAGCATTGTACTTTAGGATAGATCTTTAAATGTTCTTTTTGACCATGAATGCGATGTCATTCCTCTTCAATTTGTCATTCCCGGGATAGTAGACCATAGGATTGTTTGATTCAAAATGACCGATACCAGTCCACTGCAGTTCCCTAATGCCTAGGATATCATGTTTATACATTCCATTTCATTTTTGACAACTTCCAATTTTCCTAGATTCATACTTCATACATTCCAAGTTCTGATTATTAATGGATGCTTGCAGCTGTTTCTTCTTATTTTGAGTCATGCCACATCAACAAATGAAGGTCCTGAAAGCTTGACTCCATCTATGTCATTAAGGTTGACTCTACTTTGAGGAGGCAGCTCTTCCCCAGTCGTATTTTGAGTGACTTCTAAGCTGAGGGGCTCATCTTCCAGCACTATATCAGACAATGTGCCACCCGGTTTGTGGTAACTTGTTAAAGCAGCCCTGGGGAACAAGTACATCAAATTATTATTTCAAAGAGATTCTCAGGTTGGTTTGTGATGATTAGCATGAAAGTGGGTAATAGTGGAAACAAGGAGATTTGTTAGGAGGATATTGCAATCATTTAGAAGAAAACTAAAGGTGGCCCAGCCTAGGGTAATTGTAATGGGGATATAAGCTTCTGGTACTAGTGAAGAATCTAAAGCCAGGTACCTAGGATATTTGAAATTTTTCTAATGTAATAAAATTCTGAAATTCTCCTTTCTTGCCCTAGGTGTTCTTCCACAATTAATTATACAAAGAATTTGGGTTATTTTATTTGTTGATTTTAGTAATTCTGATGTATTTAGAATTATAAAACTTAAAACTCTACTGGGAAAATTATTTTTATAATTACTTTTATTAATCTTTTCTAGGATATTAAATGTTTACCTGATTTTTAAAAGATTATTATTTTCTAAGGTTTCCTTTTTCTTTCAAGAGTTTTTGAGACAATCTCCCTTTTTTAATGGTCTTTTTTACATTTCAGTTTAGTTTTGCCTTCTCCTGGGCACTGCACAAAGAGTTACTACCCTAGGATATGGAGCAAATAATGTCAGCCCCTTTTGGATACTGCTGTAATTCAGGTATTGTGAACAGAAAGGAAAAGGTAAGGATGGGAAGGGAAAGAAGATTCATTGCATATCTACTGTGTGCTGCATTAAGTTTACATACATTACTTCATTTAATCCTCGCAACCACCCTACACATAGGTATAATTATCTCGAGTTTTACAGAAGCTAAAATACTGAGACTAAGAGAGGTTAAATGATTTGCCAAAGATGACTCCAAAGGGCAGGAGAGACAAGAACTGTTGCTGGGTTCCCTCCCTCCCTAAAAAAAAAAAGTTTAAAAAAAACAAAAGTCAGACATAATTCCATAATCCTGGATAACTACTATTAACAATATAGGTTATATACACTCACACATACAGATTTCATTTTTATAAAACTGACTTCATACTCTAAACACAATTTTAAACCTTCCTTTTGACGAAACATGTATATGCTGAGCATTTCTCCTGTTATTAAAAATTCAAATATATAATATTTCATCACATAAATACAATAAAATGTATCTACCTCCTTATTACAGATTATTTAGGTTGTTTCCAATTTTTGATTTAAGAAATATTTAAGTGCACACCCTTACATAGACATTTTTTTGTCTATTTTATTACATACTTTCTAAGGAAAAAAATCCTAGATGTGTAACAACCTAAGGGTATAAATATTTTAAATTCAAATTGCTTATAAGAAGACCATACCAATTTACATGCCCACTAACAATGTATAAGAATGCTTGCTCTCTACAATCTTTAACATTAAAAATTACTACTTTTTTAAATTAAGTTGCCAAAATAAACTGAAGTCAAGTCATAGAACTGCAGTTATTCATTCATTCAAAAATATTGAGTGCCTACTGCATGCCATATACAGTACTTAGATGGGCTCTGGGAATATAGCGGCAAGCCAAACAGATCTGGCTTCTGCCCACATTAAGTTCACAAATTACTGAATTCATGTCCCAAATGCAAGGCTCTTCTGTATTTGTGAGGATGTAGGAAGACCAGTGTGTTAGTATTTATGAACTATATATGTGCCCACTCTTCTGTAATCTTATCTCTTGAATTCTTAGACCATGTAAAACATGGGTTATCATTACATTTTTTTAAGGTTATATTCAGGTGCATAAAATAATTAGGAAAGCTTCAGTAAAAGTCACATGGTTTGCATATGATTTAGAAATATCCGAATATTGTCTACAGTCTGTCATTAGGCAATGCAGGTGGGCACAGGGACACTTTAGCAAACATTTGGCAATTCAAAAAAAAGCATAAAACGAACTAACAGAACAAGACTTTAGAAACAGTATTTTGTACATAAATGAGACACAGGAATTTTGTGATATGACACTTTACCAGTTTTTCTCCTACTTCGGTGGCTGTTTCTGCTCAGACTCATCCTTGTCTAATCTGCCCTTTAAATGTTGGTACCACTCAGGACTTGGTCTTGAGTACTCTTATCTTCTGACTGTATACACTGTCTAGACAATCGCTCATCCATTCCCTCAGCATCAACGGCCATATTTACACCAGTGACTCCCAAACGATACTTCCACTGCAGATCTCTTCCTTAAGCTCCAGGTCTATATATTTAAACCTCTACTTTATATCTCCATTCCACAAGCATCTTACATTCAATAACAACTAAACTGAACTCATGATCTGCCTCCCTCAAACTGCTTCTCTTCCAATATTCCTTATCTTAGTAAATGGTACTGCACAGCTTCTCAAAGTAAAAACCAGGGAATCATCTCTGACATTTTCCTGTACCTCACCACCACTCACAACCAATCACCAAATCCTATTAATTCTTCCTTCTAAATTTCCCTCGTATCAACGAACACTACACCCTCTGCATTAATACCATACTAATAATCCAAGCCACGACCATTTTCTGCCTGAATACAAATTTCTTGCTCCCTTTCCATCACCTGTCCATGTTCAAGACTGATTTTTTAAAACACATATTAGATTGTACCTTTTATGGCTTCCCATTGCTCTTAGAATAAAGTCCTAAGTTCCTAATACCGTCTTCAAGGTCCTAATGATCTGATTCCTGCTTATTTCTCACTTCATCTCTTGTCACTCTCTTCCTCACTGCTATCTTCCATTCACACCAGCCTGATTTTACTACCATATCATCTCCCTTCACAACTCCTTTGCCAATCTTTCTCTTACTCATCCTTCAGGCTTTAGCTCAAGTGGTTCTTCCTCTGGAAAGTCTTTCCTGACTCCTAAACTAAGTAATTTTCCCTGTTACTAAGTTTCAAAGCTTCTTGTACTTTTCCTTCACAGGACTTATGACTACTACAATTAATTATTTCCATAATTATATGTTTAGTGTCTGACTTCCCTACTAGACTGTAAGCTACATGACAGCAGGAACTTTATCTATCTTGTTCATCAAGATGTCTCCAATACCTGAGAAAGTACCTGATACATAATTCGCATTCAAAAAATATGAATTCGGAGAATGAATGATTGAAAAAATGAATAAATAGATGAACAACAAGAACAAAAAACCTCCTTGAAGGACTAAAGTAAGACAACTGTTTGAGGCAGAACTCGAATCTAAAGAACTCTGTGAAAGTGAATATAAGCCAAAGGAGAAAAATGGATTCTAGAATTGGTATTAGGAATAGCAATGAGACTTCATCTGAAAGTGGTGATGGAAATGGAGACTAAAGCTGAGTTTCTGGCCTGTGCTTTCTCATTTAATTACCTAAGTGGAAATATGCCATAAATATTGAACAAACAGAATGACAGATGTCAAAGTAAAAGGTTTTTCTGGTGCTTTACAACCTTTAAAGTAATAACAAGTTAATTTAAATCTAGCTACACAGTCACCACATTTTAACTGTCTAACTTCTCCCATAAAACCAAATGAGCTGTTCAAAGCAACAAAATCAATGCTAAAGCTACAACTAGTGCCAATTTCGGGCTCTGATTCTAATTCTCCCTCTGACTACCCTGCCTTTAAGTTATTTTTCTTAGATCACAAGCTAAATCTGAACAAAAGAAAGTACTTTATCTGTTCATTGTTTTGAAAAGTTTCAAACAAAACCAGCATTCCTTCCCTTCCTCTTCAAAGAACTGCATGCTACTTTACTGCTCAAGAAGGAGCTCTGGTGGCACAGTCGTTTGGCACTCAGCTGCCAACGAGAAAGGTCTGCGGTTCAAACCAACCAGTCACTCCTCGAGAGAAAGATGTGGCAGTCTGCCTCCATAAAGATTTATAGCCTTGGAAACCCTATGGGGCAGTTCTATTCTGTCCTTAGGGTTGTTATGAATCGGCATCAACTCCACAGCAGTGGATTTGGTTTGGTTCTACTGCTCAGTGGTTACCAAATTTCAATATAGGACAGTAAGGCGAGTGAGTAATTTACAATCCACATAAAAAATATATTTGTAAAGCACTGAACATATTTTCAGGCAGCTCTCATTCTAGGAAAATAATATCTTTCCTATGCACAAAACCTACATTTTGAAAAGCTACAGTAATGAGACAAAGTACAAAAAAACAAAAAAAAATTAAACAATTTGATGAGAGCTTGTTATAAAAGACTTCAATTTTTCTTAAGAGTAAGAATAAATTTTAAAGTATCATTTATTCAATCAACAAGCAAGTATAACTACAATTATGTGTAGTTTATGATGTGGAATAAGCAATGATGCAAAAGGTTAGTATTACAGAGACAGGGGTATTCTAAAATTAACAGTATATTATAATTTAAGCATGAGGTCCACAAATCCTACCCAAACAAACAACAGAGAAAAATGACCCTTTGAAATATCATTCTCAGTAACAGAGGAAAAAAAGCTTCTAATTCCCATAATTAGGAATTGTCTCCCATGAACTTATAAACTACATTAAATTTTTCACAAATATTCTAATTATAGGACTAACTCTATGGTGTGAAAGTTGGTATGTTTGAGGTGCTCATTTCTATTTTTGATTTTTCCTCATCCCAAAAAATAGTTGTGATAAAGAATCATATAGTAAAAGAAAAAAGAAAGAAATACCGTTTGCATCCGTGGGGCACAGGCCCTGCTGACCATATACAGAAGTTCATGGACACCTCCATAACTAAGGCCAGTCATCTTCATAAGCTCCAGTGGGGAAAGACATAAAAAGTCCTAAAGAGACACAACCAGAATATTTTAAACATATATGTGTTACAAGATATTGGAATTAAAAAGAAACTTTCAATTGATACTATCCATGTGTAGATAGAAGTGTAATTTATTGCAGATCAAAGATTATGTGTTCCTTATGGTATTTTCCCCCTAAATATAAATATGTCTTAACTGAAAGATATAATGACATAGTCTTATCATCTAATCATCCAATCTAGTTAGTACATTCCAGAAGAGCCATACGATATCAGGCATAAATTCATCAAATGTTCACTGCTTGAAAATTGAAAATTTTCCTGCAAGTATAAAAGCTAAGTGGCAAACTCCTATTCATTATACTTACTAGAACTCTGTTAGTAAATGAGCTTAGGACATAACAAGTAACATCACACAGCAGCAGCAGCAGCGGCGTCCAACCCAGGTTTATATGAGCACTGCAATTGTGCCGGAAGGAGATGAGGCACAAATACATGCCCAGTAACTGTCAGGTTGAAATGAGTTTCTTTTATAGTTAGGAGATCACTCAGATAAAGTATCTGATAAATTGAGAGAGATAAAACTGACTCTGGACATCCTGATACATGCTACAGCATGGATGAACCTTGAAAACATCATGCTGAGTGAAATAATTCAGTTACAAAAGGACAAATATTATATGATCCCACTTATATCAAATATTTAGAATTGGCCAATGTGAAGAGACCAAAGTTTATTAGTGGTTACCAGTGGCAGAAGGAAGGAGGAAAGGGAGAGTCATTGCTCAGGAGGGTGCTGAGTTTCTGGTAAGGGTGGCGGAAAATTTTAGAAATGGATAGTGGTGATGGTTGCACAACAGGAGAAAAGGAATTAATGTCACTGAATTGTATGTGTAAAAAAAGGTTGAAATGGGAAAATGTTTTGTTGTATATATTTTTAGCACAATAAGAAAAAAACTTGACTATGGAATCAATTGTTAAATTTCATGCTTTTAAGAAGTACGAACATGAGGATTATTAAGCGTATAACAAAAAAGAACCAAAGATAGCTTGAACACACAAAGTAATTCTAAAAACAGCATAGCATGCTTTGAAAATCTGTTTCATTAAGGATAACATCCTAAAATAAAACTTCGTTGTTGTTGTTGTTAGGTGCCGTTGAGTCAGTTCCAACTCATAGGGACCCTATATACAACAGAACAAAACACTGCCTAGTCCTGCACCATCGTCACAATTGTTGCTATGTTTCAGCCCATTGTTGCAGCCACTGTGTCAATCCATTTCACTGAGGGTCTTCCTCTTTTTCGCTGGCCCTCTCCTTTATCAAGCATGACATCCTTCTCCAGGGACTGGTCCCTCCTGATAACATGTCCAAAGTACGTAAGACTAAGTCTCGCCATCTTTGCTTCTAAGGAGCATTCTGGCTGTATTTCTTCCAAGACAGATTTGTTTGTTCTTCTGGCAGTCCATGATACATTCAATATTATTCTCCAACACCATAATTTGAAGGCATCAATTCCTCTTCAGTCTTCCTTATTCACTGTCCGGCTTTCACCTGCATGAATCAATTGAAAATACCACGACTTGGGTCAGGCACACCTTTGTCCTCAAAGTAACATCTTTGTTTGTAACATTTTAAAGAGGTCTTTTGCAGCAGATTTCCCCAATGCAATACATCGTTTTTATTTCTTGACTGCTGCTTCCATGGCCATTGAGTGTGGATTCAAGTAAAATGACATCCTTGACAACTACAATCTTTTCACTGTTTATCATGATGTTGCTTATTAGCCCAGTTGTGAGGATTTTTGTGCTCTTTATGTCGAAGTGTAATCCGTACTGAAGACTGTAGTCTTTGATCTTCATCAGTAAGTGCTTCAAGTCCTCTTCACTTTTAGCAAGCAAGGTTGTGTCATCTGCATTATCACAGGTTGTTAACGAGTCTTCAATCCTGATGCCATGTTCTTCTTCATATGGTCCAGCTTCTCGAAGTATTTGCTCAGCATACAGACTGAGTAAGTATGGTGAAAGGATTCAACCCTGACACACACCTTTCTTGACTTTCAACCACACAGGATCCCCCTGTTCTGTTTGAAGGACTGCCTCTTGGTCTATGTACAGGTTCTTCATGAGCACAATTAAGTGTTCTGGAATTTCTATTCTTCCCAATGTTATCCATAATTTGTTATGATTCACACAGTCGAATGCCTTTGCATAGTCAATAAAACACAGGTAAATATCTTTCTGGTATTCTCTGCTTTCAGCCAAGATTCATCTGACATCAGCAATGATATCTCTTGTTCCATGTCCTCTTCTGAATTCAGCTTGAGTTTCTGGCAGCTCCCTTTCAATGCTACAACCATTTTTTAATTACCTTCAGCAAAATTTTACTTGCATGTATTATTAATGATATTGTTCAATAATTTCCACATTCTGTTGGATCACTTTTCTTTGGAATGGGCACAAATATAGATCTCTTCCCGTCAGCTGGCCAGGTAACTGTCTTCCAAATTTCTCAGCATACACAAGTGAGTGCATCCAGCAGTGCATCCATTTGTTGAAACATCTCAGTAGGTATTCCGTTCAATTCCCAGAGCCTTGTTTTTCGCAAATGCCTTCAGTGCAGCTTGGACTTCTTCCTTCAATACCATCAGTTCTTGATCATATGCTACCTGTCTTAGGCTGGGTTCTTTAGAGAAGTAAAACCAGTAAAGTGTATAAATATATACAGAGAGAGACTTACATCAAGGAAATGTCTAGTGCAGTTGTAGAGACTGGAACGTCCCAAGTCCGTGAGTCAGGACAGAGGCTTCTCCTGATTCAGTTAACTGCAGGGGCTGGCGAACCCAAGATTGGCAGGTCAGAAAGCAGAGCTCTTGCTCACAGGCTTCAAAGACTGACAAATCCCAAGATTCGCAGGCAAGACCTCGGGTAAGCTGGTAGCTCAAGTCCCAAGAACCAGAGGTCAGATGAACAGGAGCCAGCTGCAGGATCCAGAGAGAGCAAAAGCCCACAAGCCTTGCCAGAATGTCCACTTATATTCGATACAGACCACATGCCCAAGGAAATTCCCTTTCAACTCACAGGCTACTCACAGCAGATCCCATCACGGAGGTGACCACATTATCTCAAATTTCATCATGGAAGTGATCACAACATCATACGACTGCTAAACTACATCATAACTGCCAAATCACTGAGAATCATGGCCCAGCCAAGTTGACACACAATCTTAACCATCATACTACCTACTGAAATGGCTGAATGTCGACCAAATCTTTCCGGTACAATGACTCTGTGAATTCCTTCCATCTTCTTTTGATGTTTCCTGCGTCTTTCAATATTTTGCCCATAGAATCCTTCAATATTGCAACTTGAGGCTTGAATGTTTTCTTCAGTTCTTTCATAAATAAAACCTTGAATCTTATTCAACTTCCTAAGAGGGATTTGCTTCACTACTGTGCTTAAAAGTGCAATATCTGCTCTATACATTTATCTGGTTCCATCAGTAGGAAAAAAATCTTAACTTAATTTCTCTTACTTTGAAAAGGAAGCTTTTTCATGTTAACCACAAAATTTCTTAGAAATGGATAAAACTTCTCTGGAATTCTAAATATTGTAAACGGCACAGTTGTACCTCACCTTATGTCATAAATATTCTCCCCCAAAAATGCAAAAATTAAAAAAAAAAAAAAAAACCAAACCCACTGCCATCAAGTCAATTCTGACTCTTAGCAACCCTGTACGACAGAGTAGAACTGCCCCACAGGGTGTCCAAGGCTATAAATCTTTATGGAAGCAGACTGCCACATCTTTCTCCCAGGAGCAGTTGGTGGTTTTGAACCACCAACCTTTTGGTTAGCAGCTGAGGGTTTAATCACTGCACCACCAGGGCTCCTTGGTCTCTTTACATTGGCCAATTCTACATATTTTATATAAGTGCAATTATACAATATTTGCCCTTTTATGACTGGCTTATTTCACTAAGCATAATGTTTTCAAAGGTTCATCCATGAACATTCTCTCCGCAAAATGCAAACATAGTGTTCAGGTAAATGAAATCACATTTGAAAATGCAACCTAAGTGGCTTGTTATTTAAAATTAGCCTATGAAGGCACACCATCATTTATCTTTTTTTTTTTTTTTTGTTAACCTGCACTTTCATATTTCAGATTTATTTAAGAGTTATTAGGTTACTATGAGTCAGAATCAACCCAATGTCAGTGAGTTTGTTTTTTTTTTTTTTTTAAGGTATACTTAAAACTAATTTGTACATAAAATTTTTCATTGGAAAAAAAAATTAAATAAATTTTACCTGACAGGTAACAATCTGGTGTCTGAGCAGACGGTCACACAGATCCTGTGATAAACCCACTCGTCTTAGCTTCTTGCCAGCCATGCCTCCAGATCCAGCAAAGGAAAAAATAACCTTGAAAAAAAGTCAGAAAATGGCATAAGCGATAGTAGGTAGTCTATCCAAAATACAAAATAAAAGATTCTTCAAGCTTCTCCATATGCAGAATGAAATGTATAGTATTTAAAATACTACTGACAAAATTAAGGAAGGCTATTGTAATGGGTTGAATTGTAGCCCTCAAAAAGATATGCCCGCATCCTAACCCCCAAACCAAAAACCAAACCTGTTTCCATCAAGTCGATTCTGACTCATAGCAACCCTACAGGACAGAGTAGAACTGCCCCTCAGAGTTTCCAGGGCTGTAAATCTTTACAGAAGCAGACTGCCACATCTTTCTCCCGAAGAGTGGCTGGTGAGTTCCAATCGCAGACCTTTCAGTTAGCAGCCAAGCACTTAACCACTGCACCACCAGGGCTCCTTCCTAACCCCTACAACCTATGAATGTGACCTTATTTGGTCTTTGCAGATATAACTGATTCAATGATCTCAAGATGAGATTCCCCCAGGATTATCCAGGAAGGCCCTAAATCCAGTAACATTTGTGCTTATAAGAGACAGGAAAAGACAGGGACACAGAGAAGGCCACATGAAGACAGAGGCAGAGACTGGAGTAAGGAGCCACAACAAGGAATGCTGATAGCCACAGAAGCTGAAAAGGCAAGAAAAAGAATCTCCTCTAGAGCTTCTAGACGGTGGGAGAATAAATTTCTGTTGTTTTAAACCAACCAGTTCATGAGTTTCTTACAGCGGCTCTAGGAAACAAATATGGCTGTTGTAGTTGTTGTTAGCTGCCATCAAGTCAGCCCCAACTCATGACAACCCCACGCACAACAGATCAGACTGTTATTATCCATAGGGTTTTCTAATGTTTTTAAGTAGTTTATTTTGTTGTTGTTGTTGTTGAGAATATACCAGCAAAAACATATACCAATTCAAGTTTCTACATGTACAATCCAGTGGCACTGATTACCCCCAAATTAGCCTGCAAATATCAGGTCAGTGTCACAATCCTGCCAGAGGTGGTTTCCTAAAAAAGGCGCTCTGATCCTGCCACTCCTATCCTTTAAAATCAATCCCCCATGGCACCATTAGATCACAGGATAAATTTCAAACTTCTTAGGATTGCATAACAATCCTTCATAAACTGGTTCCTCACTTCCTCCTAATTCATATATCAGATTGCAAGGTTCAGGTCCTGACCTTCCTGGCAAGTCACTACTCTCAGTATCTTAATTTTATTTGTAAAATAAGGATAATTCTACTATCTAGTTCACAGGATTGTACCGAGGATTTAAAGGATTTGTTTGGGTGGTGGCTCAAAGTTAGCAATCGTGATCGTTATCAGTTCATTCAGCAAACATCTATGCCCTGTCTCACGTGACCTGCTCTCTAACAACATTAGTAAACTGGTAGGTTGCGCAAACTTGCCATCCTGCCTCCTTGACTATCATCCACAAAAGCTTCCCCCAAGTCAGTCTCAAATGTTCTCATCACACTTCGTTCAGAACTGTTCTATAATCTAATCAATGTATAATTACGACTTGCATGTTTGTTTCTTCCACTAGAGACTGTACATTCCTGCTGTGTATGTGTGTGCATGCTTATATGGGGGGGGGGGAGTAGTGATATTCAAAAGGAGCCCTGGTTGCACAATGGTTAAGTACTTGGCTGCTAAGGGAAAGGTTGGTGGTTCCAACCGATCAGCCACTCCTGGGGAGAGAGATGTGGCAGTCTGTTTCCCTAAAGATTACTGCCTTGGAAACAATATGGGGCAGTTCTACTCTGTCCTATAGGGTTGCTATCAGTTCGAATCAACTAGAGGGCACCCAGCAACAACAGTGATATTCAACTCTGAAGATTGAACCTGGCTCCTCCTTCCCACCAGGAAAAGAAAAATCCTGTTAGATGTACAATGAAAACTGTGAAGTAACAGTAATAGCTAAGATTTATTGAGTGCTTAGTACAGGCCAGACACTGTTTCAAGCGCTTTGCTCTCACCCCATTTTACAGATAAGAATACTGAGGCAGAGTTGAGCAACTTGCACAAAGTGAAGCAGCTAACAAATGGTGGAGTCCACACTCTGATCTGACTTCAGATTCCCCACTCTTAACTACCTCCCCTGCAACACCACCAGGAGGACAGTCCCTAAACTTCCCCTAATGACGAACCCCAAAATGCCAGAATGGTGGGGGAGAGGATGGAGGCGAAAATATCATCCCAGAATTCCCTTAAAAGAGCTTTCTCTAGCATCCAGAATCTAGGAGCGGCTTCCTCCCTCCTCCCCCCACCCCCCCACCGCCTCCGGCAACACACAAAACCATCCCCATAAAAGAAGGCGAAAAGCCCCTAGATACCGCGCGGGTCCTGGTGAGGATCCCAACCGGCCTGAGGGGGCGTGCCCTGCATCCAAGACAGACTCCCTGACCACACCGATAACAATGCCCACGGGCACAGGGAAAGAGCGGGAAATAATGAGTGCACCCCATCTCCCCACAACTGCCCCCCACAGGAAACTTAACAGTACCGGGTCTGCAGCAGCCAACTTTCAAAGCTTCCCCCACCCCTTACACACTTCCCCGCCGAAAGCACAGCACAGCAACAACGGAAGCGCTGGATGGGTCGTCTCCCTAGCTACATTAGCCAATCAGAGGCAGGAGCAGGCACAGGTTGACTAGGCTGCTTGCTGGGAATTGTAGTTCACACTCTATAATCAGTGTATCTGATACAGGTCGGAGCCAATTTCTCAATATACCCATTATCAAAATCCAGTGAAGGCACACCACCAAGGAAATTGTGAAGCAAGGGAAAACCTTGCCTGGAATTTTATCTTTTCCTTCTTTTATCTCTACATTTAAAAATCAATTAAAGGACCAGAGAGGCAAGCATGCTAGTTTTATGGGGAATAGTTGAAAATTTCTCCTTCATAGAAGAGTTTTTGGAAGAGAGCTTTTTGTTTGTTTTGTTTTTGCTTTTTAAAAGGGGTTGTGAAATAATTTGAAAAATGCTGAATGAAATTGCTCAAACTGAAACGTAAGAGTATATAGTTGAAGAAGAACATGAAAGGAAAGAAAAGGAGGATTTGTTTAAAAGAGGCTGTGATGGAGAAGGAAACCCAATAAACCGGTACTTTAAGACTCTGTTTCAGATCATTATCTTTGCAAAAAGCCTGCTCCATTTCTTGTTCTCATCTCTCCTTTGCAGACCTCTACCTTACATGGTGCAGTGGCTAAGTATTTTGGCTGTTAACCAAAAGGTCAGCAGTTCAAATCCACCAGCCACTCCTTGGAAACCCTATGGGGCAGTTTTACTCTGTCTCTGAGGTCAATGGGTTTTTTGGTTGACAGGTCTCTGGGTGGTGTAAATGGTTTGTGCTTGACTACTAACCTAAAGGTTGCTAGTGTCAACTCATCTAGTGGCCCGCCGCAGAAAAAAAGACTTGTCAATCTACAGGAAAACCTTATTGAGCAGTTCTACTTTGTAACACATGGGGTCGCCATGAGTTGGAGTCCACTATGTTGCAACAGGTTTGGTTTTGTTGTTGTTGTTGTTTAATCCTGTTTATTGGCCTGCACCCCTTACTAGACTATGAGCCCCTTGAGAACGGGAACTGTATCTTATTCAGCTCTTTTAACTCCTTCAACTAAGATGGGGCCTAGCACACGGTTCAATTAACAGTTGTCGAGTGAATGAGCAAATAAATCTATAGAGCGAAGAGGTTAAAAATGGGAATTCAGAGCTTTCGGTTTCGGGATTAGAAGACAGCCAAGTGGATAGAGTAATAATGTAGTAATAATAATTCAAGTCTCATTGCTCTGGGTATCCCCAGAGCCTAGCAAACACTGTCACGTGGCTGGCACTCAGTTAAATGTTGACATCCAGTGCTACAGAGAAAAGAGGGCGGAAAAAAAAAAAAAGGGGAAACAGCTATTCCTGACACCTGCTCGGCAGAATGCATAACTGTAGCTGTTGCGCGGTGGATCTCTCGTAACTAAAAGGGATGGTAGGAATCCCGAAGCTGATTTACTGTTTTCCGAGCTTCCTATTTTTCGCTAGTCCCGAGCGCCGGCGTCACGTGCCCCAAACAAATATGGCGAACCATTTGAGCCAATAGGAGTAGCCGCTTTAAGTGGTCACTCCACCGCCCATCGGGTGGGATCTGTCACCTGACTTGGCTCAAACATGGCTGCCCTGGAAGCTCAATTGCTTTGGGCGCGGGGAACAGGTGAGTATAAAGCACCCCAGAGTAGGTGGGTGCGCTCTCCACGACCCCTGTAGGGAGAGTCCCAGCACCTCAACCGCCACCGCCCTCCACTTCTGACACCGATTAGTCTTGTGATCTTCAATCTTCTGCCTTAGCAGAGGGCTCAAACTAGGGGACTCTTGCTGAATTTCTCATCTTTGAGGAGGCGACCACCTCGGGATTTGGAGCTGAATTTAGCATGAAAGCGCAAGAGGTAATACGGAAATGGAGTTCTGAGTCTGCGCTCTGTGCAAATACAACGATAAATACTAATTAAATAAAGGATGCGAGTAGAGAGATGGGATCCACCCATTGGGGAGAGGTGGCAGTTCTCAAAAGGAAATAGTAAACTGTGAAAATTAAACGTAAAATGATAATTAAGAAAGTCTCGCCTTTCCCAGTCGGGCTGGCAGTTGCTGGTTTGTCTAGATACAGTTCCTTCCCTTTCTTCTCACTGTGGGTTGTGTTGTTTCTAGGAAGTACTCGGCGAACGAGGAAATTGAGAATGTGCTTGGCATAACTCATCCTTCTCCATCTCCCTGCACTCTGTGCTGGGAAAATGCACCATCCATTTGGAAAAGAGGAAGCTGCCTCCCAGAAGCAGCTTTTTGGATTTTTCTGTGAGTGCCTGCGGAGGGGAGAATGGGAGCTGGCACGGGCATGTGTACCACAGCTACACGAGGGACAAGGGGATATCCCAAAGAGGGTTGAAGACATACTTCAGGCGCTGGTGGTGTGTCCATATTTGCTGAGGTAAGCTATCTCCCTTCATGACAGGCAATCACAGGACGGGAGATACATAGTTCAATTTTTAGGCTCTAGTCAATGTGCTCCACTCAACTACTCTCTGAAGAATTAGCAGAGACAGACTGAATTTCGCATGCTCTGCAAATTTATCTCTATAATATATGTCTGTTATTTAATTAACATTGGTTTTGGATTATCTGGAACTGGATTTAAACCTGGCCAGCAAAGTTTGCCTAAAACCACCGTTCCTTGATTATCATCATTAAAGTAGATGAATGGAACTGCATTGAAAACCATTTTCTTTGCCTCCAAAAGAGCAAACCCTGCTCTCTTCTTGCTCATGAAATTGAAGATATTGTTGTAGCTTTAACAAAGTACCGAGAGTGAATTCATTGAAAACTTTTTATTTTGAAATAATTATAGATACACAAGAAGTTGCAAAAATAGGACAAAGGATCCCATGCATCCTCCAAAGGTGATATATAGCTGTAGTACAATATTAAAACCAAGAAATTGACAATGGTACATTACGGTAGTGTTAACTAAACTACAGACCTTATTTAATTTCCAGCTTTTTTTAAATGTGTATTCATTTGTGTTTGTGTAGTTCTGTGCGGTTTTATCCACGTATAGATTCACGTAACTACCACCACAATCACGATACAGAACTATCACCGCAAAAGAACTCTTTCATTCCCAGCTGCTGCTCTTTGTATTGTCACTGTGCCTCCCTCTTTGTCCCCTGGCAAACACTAATCTGTTCTCCATCCTAGATTTTTAATGAAGTTCTTCCTTAATTAATTAACGAGTAGTGGTAGGGGAGTCAAATGTGCTATTCAGTCTCTCCTTTACTTTTCCTTCTTTTTGCTGTTACGTTATACGTTTAAGTAATGTATGAGGACGTACAGAGTAGGGAAACTGAAGTGATTCTTCCTTTGTTTTTTTCCCTTAAATTTGGGTTTTAGCCATTTACTGTCTGATTTCAATTACTAACGTCAAGGAAAGGCTTATGAATTCCTTTAATGCTATTTTTAGCATGCAGTTAAAAATAACTTTTTATGAAGTTCTTTTTTTAAGACCATTTGATTCAGTTTCTATATTTAAGAATATACTTTAGATAGCCTTAGCTATTATGATTTGCTATATTTTTTTTTTAATTTAAGAATAAGGAAGAGTAGATAAGGAGGTGAACATGGGATTGAGACTTTTTTTCCTTTTTTTTAATGAAAGATGTTAGCTCTATTCTGATTTTAATGTTTTATAGAACTGTCATATACGTTTGGAAATGTCTCATCAGGACAGTATCTTGCTTATTCAGGTTTAAAACAGACTGAGCAATGAAATTTAAATCTTGAATCACAAAAGACAAAATGGCAGTAGAAACTCTTTTTTAGGGGTGACATTCTTTTCATACTTTACAGATGTGGGCAGGATATCAGCCCTCAGAGATTAGCCTGGGTTTGGCTTCTTGTACTGGAAAAATGGTTTGCCCAGGAAAAGGTAAGTAGGTTTACATTTCAGATTTTCTCCTGAGGCTGTGACTGAGAAAAACTCAGAAGTAATTATGGAATCTCCCTTTTGCCTATTACTTCTTTTTTTATGAGGTTTGCCGTACTCTGTCTCATTAGTGATAGTGAGAATGGCTTAAATTCTTATTGCTATTTCCTTACCTAAGTTCATTCATTAATTCACTAGTAAACATTAACATATAATATCATTTGAGATGATGCCATTTTGTTAAATGTTGCTGTGTGCCTGAAAAGAACTTTTCAGAACTCAGCAAAAGTGACAAGAAAGTGAATAAAGTAGGAACCCATAACATTTGGATCTATTCAACACTCAAGTAAAGGAAAATCGGCAGAGCTACAACAGACTTTTCTTCCAAAATCTTACTTTAACTAGTCTTGTACAGTGAAAATTTATAGAATTTAAACCCCATTAATTAGTAATAATTCAGATCAACTGGAATAAAAGTTACCCAACATAAAAATGTAGTGAGAAAATTAGTAGTTCAAGATAACTCGTAAGAAATAATGAGACCAAACAGTCAACAATTACTTTAAAACAAAGATGAGAATGAAAGGGAGCAGAGCAACTAGATTAACGGAAATGGAGCAACCAGAAGAGAAATAATGAGCATGTTCACACATTACAAAGAATGTAACCAATGTTACTGAACAATATGTTGAAAAATTATTGAATGGGAACCTAAACTGCTATGTAAAAATTTCACTGAAAGCACAATGAAATAATTATTTTGAAAAAAGGAAGAAAACTTGTAAGGAAGTGCTTTTTTTTGTTTTTTTTTTAGAGAAACTGCCATCAAAAGTCATTTTAAGGTAGTCTTTGCTTAGGGGCAATGAGTTTCTGTAATGATGGTGGAATAACTTGGAAACGAACAATGGTGATGGTTGCACAACATGGTGAATGTAACCAGTGTCACTGAATCATACATGTAAAACATGTTGAATTGGCCAACGTTTTGTTACATATATTTTTACCACAATGAAATAATTTTTTAAAAGCCCCCTCAGAAGTACATATTCAGTATCAGAAATTGATATCTACGAAAGGAATTTCTCTGAGGTAATTTTTTTTTTGAACCTCAGATTTTAAGACTTAATTGAGGAACATTTGACTCAGAAGAGGAATGACTGGCCCAGTGTCACACCAAGTTAGTTGAAACCAAGCTCCATAAGGAGCTGAAACCAAGATCTTCTGACTCCCAGTCCTCTGATTTTTCCACCTCATCATTATTTTTTAGCCCAGTACGTGGACTTAAAAATAAGAAAACCACAAATTCTATTTTTAAAATATCTATAATTCAGCCTAATTTTGTTTCCTGCTCCCCAAAATCATCTGAATTAATTTTGCCTTTATTCCAGCTTTACCTAACACTTATCCTACTTCAAATAGTTGTTAAAAAAAAGTAACAAAAATTACTGATTTAACTGTATCTCTTAACCAAACTTTCACAAAATGTCTGATGAAGAGATAGGACAAAAAGACTAGCAGGTGGGGGAAAAAAGAGAAGCAAGATTGAAAAATAACCAACCCAGGAAAATTAAGAGTTGGCTGTAGTTTCAGATTTAAAAGAGAAAACTTGAGATACAATGTCCAGTAGTATCTACATAGGAAACAAAAAGAAAAAATCTTGTTAGTGATTAAAGATCTTTTTAGTACAAACATGGAATTTACCAAACCAAATGAACTTTCCCCCAGTTAAAACTATTTGCTTACTTTATGACTGATTGGTTGCTGATTTTCTGGACAGTTGCTCAACCAGATCAGGTGGTGGATTTCACTTCCCTGGCTCCTTAGAGCAGACTTAGAGTTGTTCTTGTTTTTCCCAGCATCAAAGATCATTTGGCCCATAAAGCTCCAGTGATTTGGTTATTTAAACAGTCGTGGGAATGTTTTAGTTCCTCAGAGAAGTTTAAAACTTCATACAGGTACCAAGACTTTAAGTGAATTCTTGGAATAGTTCTACAAAACCAGTCATTATACGGGTGGTGCCTCCGTCTTCTAGGCACTTGTCGGCTGCCTGTCCTTTTCCAGGTGTCTTAGTTATCTGAATACCACAGATGGATGGTTTTGGCAAACAGAAATTTATTCTCTCACAGTTTAGGAGGCTAGAAGTCCAAAATCAGGGTGCTGGCTTTAGGGAAAGGCTTTCTCTGTTGGCCTTGGGGGAAGGTCCTTGTCATCAATCTTCCCCTGGTCTAGGAGCTTCTCAGTGCAGGGACCCCAGCTCCAAAGGACATGCTCTGCTCCTGGCTCTTCTTGCTTGGTGGTAATGAGGTCCTTCTCCTCTCTGCTCGCTTCTCTCTTTTATATCTCAAAAGAGATTGACTCAAGATACAACCTAATCCTGTAGATTGTGTCCTGCCCATTAGCATAACTGCCTCTAATCTGACCTCATTAACATATAGGTTAGAATTTACAACACATAGGTAATTATATCAGATCACAAAATGGAGGACAACCACACAATACTGGGAATCCTGGCCTAGCCAAGTCGACACACATTTTGGGGGAACATAATTCAGTGCGTAACACCGGGTCTCCCACCTTCTGCCAAAAGCTTCCTTTTTAGTTATTAGTTGAAACAGTGATTCTATTTCCATTTTTCCTTTCCTTCATCCACTTTTGCCTTCTGTGTCTTATAGTGATTCATCGTTACACATAAAAGCATGTATCCAAAGATTAAGCTGCAGAGATGTTCACTGCCGTGCTGTTTAAAATAGAAAAACAAAAAACTGAAACAATTCCCATGTTCACAGTACAGGACTGGTTAATAAACGGAAGTATATCTGTACAGAGTCCCTGCGTGGTTCATATAGTTGATGTGCTTGGCTACTAACTGAAAGGTTGGAGGGTCGAGTACACCCAGGGTGACTCGGAAGAAAGACCTGGTGATGTACTTATGAAAATTTAGTCACTGAAAACCCTGTGGAGCAGAGTACTACTCTGAAACATATGGGCTCGCTTGAGTCGGAATCGACTCAACAGCAACTAACAATAGCAACATATATAAAATACCATGCCGCTGTTTAAAATATAGGGTAAATGAATTTTTAAGTGACATGGAAGGATGCTTATTCTCTGCTATGTGAAAAAAAGCAGTTTAGAAAACGATATATTTGCTCTGCATGCATAGACACACGTACAGAAAGTGGTCTGAATGACCTTGGACCACAGTATTGATAGTAGTTCACTTTCAGTGGTACGATCTAATGTATACTTGATGATTTTGAATTCTTAGAAGTAGATTTTCTGGAAGTACTAAGTGTAGTTGGGGATTAAAGTTTGTTTTTTTGTTTTTTTTGCTTCCTTTTCATGTAGAAGGAATACATAACTTGGTTTAAACTAGGCATTTGAATTTTTCACCTATATGTTTTTCACTAATATATATGTTAGTTTGCTTATTTTTTCCTAGTATTTCTACATTGAATGTGCTTTACTTTTATAGTCAGAAAATCTGTGCTTAGAAACATTGAACAAAGTCTTCCCTGTTTTAGGAATGTTACTCATTTAGGACCCTGCATATAACTGAAGTAATTTCACCAGCTAAATAAATATAAACTAATCAGTCTTTAGGATTCTAGAAGAAGCTCCTAAAGTTTTAACCAGACTTAATTCTTTTGTTAGGGACCTGCAATTTGGACATCTTATCTATTCCTTCCTCGTAGTCCTCAATAGAAGCAAAGACCTTCAGCTTCCCAACATAAATTGTCTCCACCAACTTCCAATCACAAGCATTATACAAGCTGTTCAGATGGCATAGGTGCACATATTAGGGAAGAGCATGGTAAGAAGAAATAGGGTAGTGGATTAAGAACATATTAGATCTTTTCAGCCTCTAATGTCATGAATAGAAAATGAACGGAGGGAGTGTGAGCTTGTGTTCTAAAACCCCTCAGACACACCATCCTGCAGGTGCTTCTTTCTTGCCTTGAGTTAGGAGACCTTTCAAAGACTCACCTTCAGAAAGCTTTAATAGGCAACATGTTTTACAGGTGTCTCTAATTTAAAGCAGTGTTTTTCATGATTAGTCCCAGACTCTAATCTTATTTTTATGTGTGTCTGGAGAAAAGGAGACTAATTTTAAAGACCAGGTAAAGGGGAGTAATTGTGAAACAAGCAGGAACAGAAAGAGTCAGATGCTTTCTATTTATACATTAGTTTTCTCTAATGGCATTTCTCATTAACAAACATTGAATTACTTATTCCTTTTGTTTGAAATAATTAGAAAATGCTTCCTAACCGTTTCACCCTTCCCATTGCTGAACCAAACCCGTTGCCATCGAGTCAACTGTGACAGAATAAAACTGCCCCATAAGGTTTCCAAGAAGCAGCTGGTGGATTCAAACTGCTGACCTTTTGGTTTGCAGCCGTAGCTCTTAATCATTGTACCACCAGGGCTCCATTTCACCTTTGTTGTTGTTGTTGTTAGGTGTCATTGATTCAGTGCCAACTCGTAGCAACCCTTTGTACAATAAAATGAAACACTGCCTTGTCCTGCGCCATCCTCATAATCGTTGTTATGCTTGAGCCCATTGTTGGCAGCCACTGTGTCAATCCATCTCATTGACAGTCTTCCTCTTTTTCACTGACGCTCTATTTCACCAAACATGATGTCTTTCTCCATGGACTGATCCCCCCAATAACGTGTCCAAAGTGCATGAGACGAAGTCTGACCATCCTTGCTTCTAAGGAGCATTCTGGCTGTACTTCTTCCAAGACAGATTTGTTCGTTCTTCTGGCAGTCCACGGTATATTTGGTATTCTTCACCA